AGGCCTAAGAGATTACTAAACATGTCACACCACTAATTTTGGATTGATCCACAAACCCTCCACAGAAATAAAGTCCCAGCTGAAGCTGTAGTCCCTGAGGCAATGGAAAGTACTGACACTAGCCAGAACTCACTGTCATTGAAATGATATTGTATAAAGGAAATTCTTTTCACCTTGGCTTTGGATTTGAGAAAAGCTAAGAGGGCAGTCTTTATATGGGGTCCAGAAGAAGAATTCTGGAAAAAAGCAAACCAAGTTCCCACAGGAAAATAAACTAAAAAAAAAACAACCCAGAGCCAATTTGTTAACTAGTCCAATAAATCAATATGGTATCTGGCTACCAGATGTAAAGGTAGATTTGGAAAGAGTATCTAGGCCTAGGTACTGTTAACTAGAGCAAAAAGTTTGTCTTTTTCAGGCCTGATCTGCTAGAAGGGTGATACCATTTTTCCTGAGATCTAGTTACAGGAGAACAGAGGGAGAATCCAGGATATGGGACATGCCAAAAATGGCCAGACTCATCAGGACTTGCCTTTATGTGGGTGGAGAAAAAGCCAGAGAGACGTGGCTCCCAAACTTGGCTTTGCCATTTATTAGCTGCATGACCTAGGACAACTTATTTAACCTTTCTGAAACTTTTTTCCTTCTCTATAAAACATGGATAGTATCAACAAAATTTGTTGAGGACTAACGGGAATAACCAATGTAACTAAACTAACTAAAAAATAACCAATGTTTGCTTGGTATACAGTAGGTACTTCCTACATATGTTCCTTCTATAGTAAACTTCTTTTTGCATTTAAACAGGAGCATGGAATAAATCAGAAAAGGAAATTATCTCAAAAAGTGAAAAGTTTGTTGACTTTTGTTATTTTTCTGTTGTTGGTCTAGTAGTTTATAGTGTTGGAGAATATATGCTGCCCACTTTTAGTCCTTCGACAATTATTTATGGACACCCTACCTATAAGAACCTCAGCTTACCCTGTGAAATGGTCAAGAATGGTAGCAATTGAAGGCCAAACCAGATTTCATTCAAACACAGAGACATACTGGGCATTGTTGGACCTGAGCAAAGATATCACTGGTTTCTGATCAGAACAAGGCCAGGCTGACCAGTTCTACAAGTGGCCCACAGCTTATCCACAGGATCCCAGGCAGGAGAGGACCAGAGTCATAGCCCATCACTTCGGCCATCCTCATAAACATAGATAAAACCACTGTCAGCATCTTTAAGGGACAGCTAACATCCTGTTGTTTTTGGCTGTTTTTCTTCAACTGGTCAAAAAAGCTGTTCTCATTGCCAGTTATCTCACAGTGCCAATTTCCTAAGTACATTTAAAGGGCTGCTGTTTAAGCATATTATTTCACATGCTACTATATCTTCACATCTTGGAAGACAGTAAAAATTAGATTGTCAAAATCTGTTTTCTGGGGGGAGGCATCACAAATTTTATAAATCAAGAGTTCTATGATCAAATGTTTTGCTTGCCAAAACCCATCTTCTGAAGGCCCATTTCTTCAAGTTGATTCACTTCCCTTTAAGTTCTTTCACTCACTAGCTCTAGAACCTGGGGCAAGGGTTAATTTCTCAGGGTCTCAATTTCCATATCTGGACTAGTTATTCTCTAAGATCCTTTCTAGATGTACAAACCTATGAAAAAGCATTAAATGGCTAAGTTTCAGGTAGTTTGTAAAGGTCCCCAAGTCTACACTTAAACACTAATAATACAATGCAGGTATATGTATATATCATTTCATGTAAAATCTGCTTTGAGAAGAACTGTTGATGGTAATGCACTGCTGAAACACTAACCTATGACTTGCACACAGCAGGAACTAGAAAAAATATTAAATGTATAAACAAACAAATGAATAGGAATATTGAAAATATCTAGAAATACAGCTGGATATTATAGGTAGTACGATAGGAAAGAAATCACAGGACAGAAATACTTAGATAATAATGGAATGCCCCAGGCACAAATCCATAAGATAGAAGGGCAGAAACAATAACCAAAATAATATAGTGAACCCCATTTTTGGACTACAAACTTCCCCTAAAGCCCTAAAGGCACCAATGCTCTGTTTAAGGCAAAATCTTCTGGGAAGCTCTAGATTCCTGTTTACTCTAAAATAAAAGAAAAAAAAAAAAAAAGCTTATTCCTTGTAACTCAAATCCTTGGGGAGGTTAGGAGTCAGTGGGAGGCAAAGAGACTCACACAAATATACACGCATATACAAAATCATATCTGATGAGAGGAGGTTAATGAAGCAAACAAAATCCCAGGGCTCACAGGAAGTGGAATTAGAACCACAAAAGCCAAGAAGACAGTCAACAACTTAAAAAACTCCAGATGCACTCAGTTTATTAAAATTGAACACAAGTAGGGAGGGAGAAAGGAGACCCATGGCTGATAAAATGGACTTAGGGGGTATTTCACTGAATCAGAGAAATTCACTGCTTTCTTTCACATCAGAACATTCTATTGTCATTAAGTTCAATAAATTCCTAAGCTTCCAAAAGGCAATCAAGTTATAAAACAAAATAGAAAAGGAAACATTCAGAAAAGCTTTTATAATTAACTATTTAGAACAAAGATTTTTACACCAAGGGCTACCAGAAATTACCCTCATATAAGAGCCAAGTAGATGCAGAAAAGAAACTTTTAATTATTGTTTTAATCGAATAAGGTTTTAGAAGTTGGAGTTATGTTCCTAGTCCCCTCATCCCCGTCTTCAAACAATTTGCAGTAATCTAAGAGCTCTCAGTCCTTACCCAGATCCACTGGGAAACCTTCTGTCAGGCCACCAAAAGGCAACTAAACCAAGTACCAATCATTCATTCAACAAACATTTCTTGAACATGTTCTAAGAGCAAAAGATGCTGCCATGCATGGGAATGGTGAAATACTGTCCTCCAGGAGCTTCTAGTTCAGTAGAGGAGACAGAAACATAAATGGATTCCAGATGACATGCAGTTACTATTGCAGAGTTATGAACAGAGTGCTGAGGGTAGATAGAGGGTGAGGGAGGCTAACTCTGACAGGGAGAGTTAGGAAAATCATCATCAAAGAAGTGACACTTGATTTTAACTTTAAAGATGTCAGTAATCTAGTAGGTCAAGTAACATGAGAAAAACATTTCAAATGCAGTATAAAACAGGTGCAAATGCAATGGGTGAGAAAAGGACCTGGGAGGCCCAGGGATATGGTGAAAGGTATAGTTTGGCAAAATGGGGTGAGATGGGAAAGGGGAACACAGTGACCATTAAGAATTCAAGAAAATAAGCTCAGAGACTACTGGGGAAGTATGTGTATACACAAAACATAACAATGTAATAGGAAAAGAATATAATGAAACAAGTACAGAACAGCAAGAGAAAGCAGACACAACAGGGTACTTTGTTAGGCAAGACTTCCCAGAAGAGGCAATGTGGAGCTGAGTCTTAGAAAAGAAACAGGAGCACGCAAGGAAGACAGAAGGAGAGTTTTCTACCCAAACAGCAGAACTTATATAAGGACACAAAAGCAGAGGGCTCAGATGTAGAATATCATATAGATTATAACGTATGAGAGGGAAAATAGAATTCTAGGAAAGTCAATTGGGATTAAATCCTTAGAAGCCTTGAAAGTCATATGGAGTTTCCATTATACTATCCAAGCCTAAGGAGCCATTTAAGAATTTTAGAAGTCATGAACAGATACACATTTAGAAAGATATTACAATCTCTTCCTATATAATTTTAGGTACTGATTTATGTACCATATTCTATTTACAGATTCAACAATTCCCTTTGTTTACTGTACCTTAAGTACAGATTCGTTATGATTAATCATTAAAGAGATCAAGAATTATAATGTCTAATTATAAAAACAATAAAAAATGATTTTTATTGAGTATAAACTTAGGGGCCAGATACTGTGCCAAATGCTTTCTTTGCAGGCAGCATCTCATTTGATCTTCATGGTACTCTTAGGAGGTACATATCATCATTACTGCTGTTTTATAGTTGAGGAAATGGGATTCAAGTAAACTGCTGAAAATCACAAAACTAGGTAGGGGTGCAAATGAGTTTCAAATCAAATCTGTCAGGCTCTAAAGCCCCTATTCTTTATTTTCCTGTTATACTGCCTTCTAAGTAGGCCATGGCTCTTACATCCTTGCTATTTGTATTACCCCATGCCACGCTTTAATCATCCTCCCCATCAATGACCCTAGTGTGTTTTACTAAAAAGCCTAACACTTGCTGAAAGCCTGTGTTACTTCACCGACATTCACATAGGCAATCACTACCCAGCTCACATCCACGTGGAAAGCAAATGTACACAGCCACCCTCAGTGCCATAGTCACAGCTAGTGGGTCAGTAGGTGACAGGTTTCCTGACCCAGTGGTTGTGAACTGCTCATTATTCCTTCTCTGTGCAATCAGGGAGCTGGGGTGGACCAGAAAGGGAAGGGAAAAGGAAGAGAAAAAGGAGAAAGCAAAGAAGGAAGGGGAGAAGAGGAGGAGGAGGGGGAGAAACCCACTAGAAAGGAGACTAAAACAAAAAGGAGGAGTCATCGGAAAATGGGAGAAAGCACATACTGGTACCAGCCAGAGCTTCTTGGAAGAGTTCCAAGTCTGGCTGCCAAAGAGCTCTGGAATATATTTGTTAGAGCTGGATTCCTGTACAGTCCGTTTGCAGACTTTTTCTAACTGCACTCTGACAGAAAGAGCCACACTTTAGTTCCAATCCCTGCTTCCAATACAGAAAGCTAGCTACTCCTCAGGGGTAATTTCCAACTAAGCTCAATACTGGTCTCTTAGTAGGATCTTCATATGCTATACGAGCTTAGAATCGTAGCTTCATAGCTTTTATTTCTTAGAAAGAAATAAAAATGTATCACATAAGCTCTTTCTTACTCCTATAGAATCACTAAGTCTCTCTACCCCTGAATCTCACCGCAACTTCCCAGGACCCTCTTCACAAAACACGTTAAAACTTCTTGAGTCTCCTTACCAAAACAACTGCTGCGATGAGGAACAAAAGTTTTGCAGGCTGTAGCAATAGCTAGTTCAGCAGAGATTATAGTCTTAATGATCAGGTCTTCTACATGGGCCATCAATGCTGCAAAAAAAAATTAAAAATGAGGAAATAAATACTAAAATGCATGGATTAATAGGACTGGATTCTAGGTCACAATAAAAGCAGGTGTGCTCATTCAAAAAAGCCTCTATGTGGCAGTCTCCTGAATGTATGCTACTGGGGCAGGCATATCTGTGGACAGGCCAACACAGGCAAGGACACAGGTGCCAGGGGATACACCCAGGTAGCCTCCTATGACAAGAGAAAAGCAGAGAATGGAATAGGAGTCTTACTTCCCTCTTCATGCTTCCCCTATTACCCTTTCCCTTGTGAACTTCGAGAGTCTCTTCTGGGACACAGTTTTCCTTTCTGCTCAAGGCTCAGCAATAGTGTCCACTTTGATTCTAAGCCCTGTGCTCAAACTCTGCTCACTCTCCAACTCAGCCACATGAATGAGAGTGATTAACTCAGAAAAATCTGAACTTAGGGCCAATACAGAGCCAGGCAATTTATTATATAAAAAGCTGACAGTATCTTAGCAGTTAAACATTCAAGAAGGATAAATTCTCCAAGGATTAAAGGAAAAACTTATACCTTCCAAACTAGAAATAAGAAAAGGGATTTGGGGAGTCATGGAGAGCCTGTTTCCCAGTTGGTAAACTACAGGAAAAAGTAACACCAAGAACAATCATCTGATTGGATGTCTCAGCAACACTATCAGAGTTAGAATGATCCTGGCAAGAGACAATGATAAAGTTAAAGAAAAACAGTTAAGACGAAAAAAAGCTTGGTACTCACCAGTTGTGTCTCTGCCTTCTTGTTTCAGGTACCTAAGCATAGCACTCATGCTCCATTTATTCCCATAATCTTCCACTTCTGGATCATCACAACTAAAACAAATTCATGAATCAGGATCACATACACAACTAGGCCTGACTGTAGAAACAAGATTCTTTATAAACAGCCTTCTTGTTCTTTTAAGTCTTTAGAAAAGCATTCACTTTGCTGATGCCACTCACTCACTTTTTTTGATCCTTTTTGTCATGTATCCCTTTGTACCAATTTCTTCAATAGAAATGAAAATACATATAGTTTGCCTTATTGAAGAGATAGGGAAGAAGAAGGCAAATTATTCCTTAACCAAACAATGATGTATCAATCATGAAAGAGTGGAAATGTGTGGAAGAATGTAAAAAAATTTAAGAATGGTTACAATAATTAACAGAGAGAAAAGTTTGAGGATACAGACCTAGCCTTTGGGAGGTGAATGTCACATGAGTCCACAAAACCACTTCTGTTGCCATTTTTTTACTAGAACAGAGTTGGGAAGGGCTAGTGAGCTAATCTAGTGTAGCACTGTAATAAGCTAACCCAACACAGAATTGCTTTGGCAGCTGAAGCAAGTTCTCGCCTCTCTGATACCTTTTGAGGTATTGCTGAAGGGAAAACACAGTGGAGTGACAAGAAGAGTAAGGAGGCAGAATGGCAAATGGTGCAGCCTCCACAAAAGCTGGAAGAGTCCTGCAAACTGGAACTTGTGTTTTACAGATGCTGCCCTCATATTCACTCCCATTATTCCACTGTCCACCAATTGCATCTTTGCTCATCTTCCAAAGTGAAGGCATGATATCCTCAATCAATTCAAACACTGGTCACAGCATACAACACAGTGAAACCTATATAACTTCAGCAACTATTCCATCACTTCCAGATTCCTTCCTTTCTTTCTTTCCTTGGACCTGCTAGGCACCTATTTTTAGTCTAAGTAGAAAGTAGCTATTTGGGACTCTTTTTTACTTTTCCATTTTCTGGCAAAATTATTGGCATGAAAGAAAACAGAGCAAGAAGAATATTTCCACACAGCTGGGCTGGTACTCCCTTCCACTGAATCCTTTTCTGAGATGGCCTCATTTCTTTCTTTCTCTAATTTTTTTCCTTACTTTTTCCCCCCTGATCATACAAGTATTTATTTTAGAAACATTTAGAAAATATATAACAGCACAGAGAAGAAAATAAAAATCACACACCCATAATCCCACCCACTATAAGTAAGCACAGTTAACATTTTAGTATTACTTCTAATCTTTTTATTCTCTCGCCTCAGCAAAAATAAACAACTTTGTTAATAGATATCTGATATATTCAAGTGAGAAATTAAGTCATGTGTACAGTCTAATAACCTGCTTTCTCCCCCTAACAATATCCTTTTTATCTTTTTTTTTTTTTAAGAGACAGGGTCTTGCTCTGTCACTCAGGCCAGAGTGCAGTGGCATGAGCATAGCTAACCCTAGCCTTGAACTCCTGGGCTCAAGTGATTCTCTGGTCTCAGCCTTCCAAGTAGCTAGGACTACAGGCGCATACCACCATGCCCAGCTAATTTGTTTTTATTTTTTATTGATATGGGGTCTCACTATGTTGTCTAGGCTGGTCTCAAACTCCTGGCCGCAAGCAATCCTACCACCTTGGCCTCCCAAAGTGCTGGGATTATAGGCATGAGCCACTGTGCGTGGCCCATCCTTTATTTCCTAAGGTTAAGTTCTTAGAAATGGAACTGCTGGGTCAAAGGGAATAAATATTTTTAAAGCTTTTGATATGTTTTGCCAAATGCTGAAAGGACCTCATTCTTGACTTCTAAAAAGTTCCATATGCCTATTAAATTTCCACCCCTAAGTCAAGTGAGGGAAGACAATAAGGAAGACAAAGCTTGTGAAGGCATATTTTGGTAGAGAAAGGTGACACTATACCAAGAAGAGCAATGGGGAGGCAGCAGCAGATACGTCTCAAAACTATTACATGACTCTGACAGCTTGCCGTGTATGTTACATGGACATAAAAGTAAAGCTAACCTTTGGTGCAACATGATAACTTTCCACCTCTACAACACCCCCACCTGAGAATGACTTCTCTGACTTCTGGCTCAGACACAGCCTGTACCTGACATAGTCTCCACTCTTCTTATTCACACTGTAGTTTGTCAGATGCATGAACTGGTTCCGAATGTTCTTGGCTCCTTGATCATATCGCACGGTTGCAAACCTGATAGAAACAACACAGGTTAAATGCCAGGAACAGATTTTTAAGGCAATAGAGGCTAGAACAGAGGATCAATGAGGTAACGATAATAAAAGAGGATGACATCATTATCTAACAAATACTGAGTGCCTACTAGGTGCCAACTCCCATGCTAAGTGTTTTATATATAATATCACATTTAATTCAATCCTTAAAGCAATCCTATGAAGTAGGTGATACTATATCTAATTTTTAAAATAAATGTGAAAACTAAATGTGACCTAGAAAGATTAAGTAACGTGCCCAAGATCACACTGACTCCAAAACCCATGCACTTAACCACAAGATGCTGCTTCTCTTATATAGAATGTTATACCAATAGGAAGAATGAAAATGGAAAATACAGCTATTCACAACCTTGAAATTGTATACAGAATGCTGTGAATGATGGGACTTTAGCTGAGAAATACCCACTGAGTACCCACACAGTGCCTAATACCATAGCATTCAATGAAAAAAAAATTAAGCAAAAAGAAAAAAATATACAGAGCATAGCAATAGAAAGACTTAAAGCTCGTACTCATAGAAAGAATAGAACAAATCTATAATACCCATTTTAAAAGAACAATAATGGCAGCATTTACAGCAGATGAAGCAGAACAGCATAGTGCAAGAGACTAATTCTTGAATTTGGAAGGAGGAAGGCAAAAGACAGGAGGATTAAACATGGAGCCCACTGAAAACAGGGTAGCAATTTGATATCTTGGACTACTGTCAGAAGAAGACCAAAGTATAAAATGTATGTACCTCTGAAGGAAAAGAGAAAACTTTCCGGCAGTGTTCAATATCAACAAAAGGACACTCAAGGCGAATGGTTATGGTAAATATGAATCCCTGTTTACATACCACTATAACCATATCACCCTTCACTATAGTGGTTTTCCCAAGAGGCACATCCAAGTGTGTGAAAAAAAAAACGGAAGGCCACAAGTTTATTTTTATATGATTTACAAATTATTTACATATGCTTACCCAGACTATGAAGTCAACATGAATTTTTACCACATTAAAGGTCAGTACTTAAAATTTTTCCTCTTCTCTATTTCTTCTCACCCATCCACTATCTCTGTTCACTAATTCCCTGTACCAGAAATACACAAGAGCCAAAGAAAGAAAAGTTAAAAAACAAAAAAACATAAAACAAAAACCCCCAGATAAACAAACATTAAGCCAGGAAAAGGATGTGGACAAAGAGAAAATGTTGACCAGGCTAAAGGATAAGCATTTGATGAGCACTATGTCTATGCTAAAGAAGGACCTCAGATTTTCTAGAAACTTCCAGCAGTTATCACTTAACTTCTAGCTATGTCAATCCCTGGTGAGTAAACCTGGCCTATACATCCCAATCTCCCTCTTATGGAGATTCTACAAACAAGTGGAAGGAAGTCAGTCATTTTCTGAATTCTTGTAAAACGCAAAGGGGGCCCTTGTTGGCCCTACAGAGGCTGCCTGGCTCAACCAGACATTACCTCACAGTGACATACCTCCTGCCATCCTCTCCCCCAAAAGAATAATGAATTAGAGGCAGAGGGAAGGTTCTGTTTCAGAGAAAGCAGCTTTCATTGTGCCTAACTATGAATACCTGATCTAACTTGGTCAACATGAAAAGCCTAACAAAATCTGTGGTGATCTGGAGTCTGGTACCGAGCACATATGTCATTCCTATACTCCTTTTTTAAAGATGGCTGTACCTCTAAAAAATTCACTTTTTTTCTTCCTAATCTTCCTTTTTACTGGAGCATTTTATTCTGAACTTCAGCAAGGACAAGATTACTAAAGTTACAGATTGGACTTCTACAGAGTATAAGGAGCAGTAGGAAGTAAGAATGAAAAGAGAAAAAAAAAAAAGTAACTTAATCTTAAAAGGAAAAGTCCCCCCGCAGAGTAAAAGTGCTACACTTTGTATTTCACTTAGCTCAATGGGGAAGACAGAAAACCATGTAGAGGAATGGCAGGCATGTGTGTTCCTATTTCCTCCTAAATCAGTAAGATCCTATGGTGCTCACTAAAACCCATATTAAATAAGCCATAATCATTTCTGATCACCATTTTCTTAATTGTCTAGATCAAGGTCACACTAATCTTGGATTTGGCCTACTAGTCAAATTCTGATTAACCTACAAAAGTTTTTTATTTTGTTTTGTTTTTCTTTTAAACTTGAATTACTTGACCAACATTTAAAAATCAGACTTTCCTTCTAGCAGTCCTTCCTTCTTGCATTGAGGGCCCATGTGTGGAAGATGGTGAATGGGGTGAGAAGACAGCCCAGAGGCAGTGCAAGGAAGTTATCCAAGCAGGGTGGTTGCCCCATAGGGGTCTAAATACACACAGTAAGGGCATCTGAGTAGAACGGTGTCCCAGCAGGGTCAGGAGATTTAATTTACTCAGTTCCATTGGCTACATACAAGGGAACTGAGTAAATTAATAAATGTGTTAAAGACATTGGTAGCCAGATTTCTCACTATTGGGGAAAAGAGAGAAAAACATGGAAAGGGAAAAGCTAGAATGAATTCTGCAGTTTTGAACTAGAATTAGAGGTACTAGTACGAACTCCTGCTTTTCAATATCTAGAGATACAGAAATATAGATGTAAATGTGTACATATGTATACATATATATATTTCCTAAGTCTGTCCAGTGGGTGGACCTGAGAATAGAGATGCCCCAGAGCAATGGGAATATCTAGCACCCAGATACTGATTTCTAAATACTACTCTCTGTTAAAAAGCAACCAGTGCTCCTTGGAGAAATGTTTGATAGGTTTGATAGGGATAGGTCAAAGAAAGAACAAGATGAACCTGAAACATTTTGTGTTCAAAGAATGATGGGGACATGTCAAAAGAAGACAAAAGCCAGATTAAAGGGGCTCCCACTGGTCAAATCTGGGACAATTTAAGCATCAAAGTAAATCATGATAGTAAAGGATTATAACCCATTCCATAAAATAAGGATCCCTGTAGAAAAATCATCATTTGGCAACCATTATAGCAATAATTCATTCAGGCAAGAACATCAATAGGTATTAAAATTATTGGATGAAATGGGAGGAAGAATGAAATTTTACATGATTTCAAAGTATCTCTTCATAAAACACTCATTAATTACAAAGGAAAAGAAAAAGTAACTTTACAATGAAGGAATCTGGTAGATACCAACCTTAATCAAATGGTCAAATACTACTTAATAGTTATGTATACCATCAGATGTAATGCAATGAGAAGAATGAGCATCACCTCTGTGGTATTCTAGCCCAAAATGTATAGCCTGGGTCTGATCATGAGAAAATATAAGACAAACCCAAATAGAGAGAAAATCTAAAATGGCCTGTAATCTTCAAAAATGAAAGTCAAGGAACTGTTCCAACAGAGGAGACTTAAAAGACAAGACAGCTAAACATAACGTGATCCTTTATTAGATCCTTTTGTTATAAAGAACATTATTAGGATAATTGGCACAATTTGAAGGGGCTATCTAGATGTAGGTTAAAAGGCAGTTCTTTATACTAACTTTTACAGCTTTTCTATAAGTTCAAAAATGTTTCAAAATTAAAAGTCTAAAAAAATTAGTAAATTTCATAATAAAAATCTAGATGTTCAAAGATCTTTAACAAACCAGATCTGGCGATAACAATATCAATGACTTGCTGGCACTGAATAGTAAATGCCTTTAGGTGAGACATATGCTTTTCCATTCTCCACCTGGCCAACTTCCTTTAGTGAATGCACTTGTGAGCATTTAGGTTTGTGACCTTTAATTTAGACCTTACACATCATCAAATTTCATCCTATTTGGGTCTGAAAGCTTCAACACAATTTCTGTATAACAACCTAAAAGAAATAACTCTTTGCTAGGTATTCTCAGGACTAAGTTTACAATACAGTCATGTTACTTAACAGCAGCACTATGTTCTAAAAAATATGTTTTTAGCAGATTTCATTGTTGTGTTACCATCACAGAGTGTACTTATACAAATCTAGATGGTATAGCCTACTGCAGAACTAGGCTATACGGTACAGCCTATCGCTCCTAGGCTGCAAACCTGTATAGCATGTTACGGCACTGAATACTGTAGGCAACTGGAACATACTTGTAAGCATTTGTGTATCTAAACATATCTATGTTATGATATTATGAAGGTTACAGAATCACTAAGCAATAGGAATTTTTCAGCTCCATTATAATTTTATGGGACCACCATCATATATGTGGTCCATCACATTGTTAGGAGTGCATGACTGTACTTATCCTTATGCTGAAATTTACATGATGAATTGAGTCTTGATCCTCCTTCTTAATGAGATCAAGATTTAGGAAAGCTGTCATGGACAGATCTTTAATCCAAGAGAAAAGGAGGGGAACTTTACTTTCTTTGCTAAATTTGAAACCCTGGGTACTGTTTCACAGCCTACTGATGAATATAGAACCACAGGCCCTTTCTTTTTTCCCACAGTGGAAACAAATATGGATTGTCTTTATTCTAGCAATATTTTCATTCTGACAAATTCTTGTTATCAAAAGACATGCCTCCTTTTTGTTTTCTAATGTTTCTAAGAATCAAGACAACGGTAATAATTTGTCTAAAAGTCTTGAGTGTCTGTGTGAAGAAAGGATTTCATTGTTAGGCATATACTAGGTACTTGATAAGCATTAAGTGAAACTGCGCTGAAGCTGCTTGTGCCAAGATCTTTTCTAATAGCACAGAGAAGGAGAGCAAGCACAGAGAAGTTAAGAAGAAAAAAGAGAAGAAAAGCACAGAGAGTTAGTGGGATCTTTTAAACTATCTTCCCCTATTCAAAAACTACTTTGTTCTTCTAAGAATATGACATCATATATTCTTATGGTCAAGGTCATACATCGTCTAGATGTAAGTACTTAAACCCTCTCTTTTGGTAGTTATATTTTCTAACAAACATTCACTACAAATGTACAAAGAAAAGAGAAGGCCAGCCCTGAGGAGACCCTAGCTGTGGCAAATGAGTTATCTTTCAGCAGGTGTAGCCATTTTGAGCCACAGAGACCTGGACAAGGAAGAGAGCGCCTCAGGCAGCCTTGCCAGGAGCCACTGGGTTTCATCCTGGCCTGACCCAGAAAAATCTTATGGAAGAGAACAAGAGGCCCAAGAGCTCTCTGATCTGCTGTCAACCAGCTGCAGCCGGGAGACTGCCAAAGTGCTGCAGTGACTAGGCAGCGCCCTACAGAGCCGTCTGGGAGGGGATTACCAGCCTGATCCCCTGTCTTTAGAGCCAGAAATGACTCAAACTTCACAAACAGCAAAGGCCTGCCAGGAAGTGTGACAATGAGCACTGGAAAGGGTTTTCTCCCCCTTGTTGGTGTCTCTTCTCCCCACTTGCTGCTGTGGCAGATTCTGGACAGTGTGCAGCCTGTGAGGTAATCTGAATTCCTTGGCAACCAGCAAGTACCTGAATTCTTTCAAAACCACAGGAATCCAGCAGAGAAAAGGTAAATATCCCTGCGGAGCCAGTGTTAATTAGCAAGGAAGGCTACTGAAGAGGAACTGGGGGTGGGGAGAAAGGGAAAGGCATTAGAAATGCTTTGGGGTCTTTTCTGAATTTCCACTGAATAATATGGCTGGGCAGGAAAAAAGGCAGTTCCGACTAGACCTTCTTGGTGTCCTCCCTTCCTACCTCCACAGCATGGTGGACAATCTCTCAGTTCCCTGGGTAGGCACTCTCATATCCCCCAGGTTGCTAGTGCCATCTCTCTTTGGGTCTCTATTTAGTTTTCAACTCAATTTTGTTTTAATTATTTTGAACTTTTTATTTTTCATGTTTGAGTGAAAATTTGGCTATTAGCTTCGTCTCAAAAAGGGCTTTGTCAAATCATTTAAACCAAATATTGGATCTACCTACAGCTATAAAATCCAGGACAAAATCTTTTTGGATTCTGCCTCTGACAGGAAAAAGAATCTACACCATTTTGGTAGAGAATAGCACCCTTCTCTGGAAGCTGAGTGTCCCCTGCTGGTATAAAATAGCAACATGCGTGTGAAATTCAAAAGCAGGATGGATCCTCTGAAGTGCTACTACAAGATAATCACAAAACAATGGACCCAAATACCAGAAAGAGAATTTCATTTTAATACCTCTTCAATATTTTACCCACATACAAGAAAACAGTTGAGAATTCTCCTACTTCCTATGTTATAATAATAAAATAAGGACAACTGAAAACATCAATCTATAAAGAAACTAGGATCTTTTTTTTTAGTAAGTTTAAGAAGATAAAAAATTTAAACAAAATAACTTATCACACAAAATAATTTATTTCACAAAATACCTCATGAAATGAACTTAATCTTTCTGTCACCTTACATTAATCTGAGATCCAAAACAGAAGTGAGATGGTATAAGAGCCTTCCTTTCTGAAGAAGAAAACTAATTACATTTGCCTACATTTCCATCTCTTTAGGAAAGATGGTTTTCCTTGTTCAGCCTCAAAGTACAATGACCTAGGGATCTCATCCCAGACTGAGTATCTTCAGTTATGTCCACATAACACGAGACTCAAGATTACTGCAAGGTGCAGATGTGGAGATGCTACAGGCTATTGCTGAATGTAATGACACAGTTAAGCGGACTGTGAGGATTAAAAAGAAGCAGATGAATGCCAAGACACATAGTGAGTGAAGACATAAGAACTCAGGCACTGAAATTACTGCACAGAACAATGTAACTTCACAGGACTACAGCAAATAATCCACCATATTGCTATGTATCATCTTTTTGTAAAGCTTTGATAAAGCTTTTATATTCGCCTATATTTTCAGAAGAACCTAACCAAAGCCATGAAAATTTATTTTGTTTTTTGGTTCAATTTGGTCTGACATTTTAAAAACCTGTTTTCCTAATTATTTTGAGAAAGAGCATCCACTGATTTATATATACTTCTTATTTATTTATTTTCACTTTCTGCTGGAAACAAAAGAGGAAGGCTACTCAATTCAGTGGATTCTGACTCCCAACACAAAACCAATAGCTAAAGCACTTGTGTATCTGTAGTAAATTCTAAAATAAACATTGGTACTGCTCTCATTTTGTGTTCTGAACCATGAAGGTCTTAAAACTATGCCAAATTTTACCCACAGGGTGAGCTATTAACATTGTGGGTGAAATATCTTTGAAATATGAAGCAAAACATACTGGTATGGTATCCTTGAGAAAAAATGAAGCATAACCTTGATATCCTTTCTCTATTCCCAAAGTCCAATTTGTGGCAGGACAAAATTAGTTCCCTACCAGGACACAGTAGATGAGCTGAGGTGAGGATAAGTGGAGAAAGGAGAATGAAAAGGCTTATAATATAGAAGAGGGAAAGCTCAGAAGTCTCAAATTACAAAATTGAAAATCTTCAGCACCTTGTATGCCTAAGCAGAAGTCAGTGGTATATTTCATCTTCATTTTGTTCTGGATAGTATAGGAACTAGGCTTTTATACCTCGTCTTGTATATCTATACTTGAAAGTATAAGTGCACATGCATCTACAAACACCATAGAAAATTTATTTCCTATAAAAACCTGATTAGACCTAGTAGTCAGTTCCTGTTCAGATGCCTGGTCCAGCCCTTTATTCAATAACTGAGACATGTTTTAGTTCTCCCTGATCTCAATTTTCAAGGAACAAGAGGCCAGAACTACGGAGTTTAGGTAGCACTCAATGTTCCCAGGCTCAAATTCATAAATCTTAGTTAAGAACACCACAGAACTTATAAATGCTGTCACTGCCACCTAGAGGTGAAGTCAAGACAGGGCTCAACCAGCTAGAAGCTTTAGTCTGTTCTCACTCAATTCTAGTCAAAGGATATATCAAAAAAAGTATACACAATAATTAAAATATCATTCTAAAATAATAGTTGTTGGAGTAAAATAATATTTTCCAAATCATCTACACCTAAATAGGTAGCCTTCTTTTACCCATGGTATTTCCCATCTTCAAACTACATTTTCTAATATACAGAAATATACAGACCATATTTTTTAGCTTGCCATGACTGCTCATAGATGCAAACCGCCTCCAAAGTTGCTATAATAACAAACCCATTATGCATAAAAAACACTTTGGGGACAAAGATTTGATTAAAATAAAATTGGTTTTGTGGGGGAAAGAACACAGGCATAGCACAGTGACATGCTTATTTTAAACCATTCAAGAGTATACAAAAACCACTGTCACCTGTAGATATGGGAAACAAAACTTCAAATTATTACAATGTGAACAATGTGAATCTTGTAAGTCACATTACCTTAAAACTTAAAGAGCACCTCAAGAAAAAGAGAACAAACAATGTATATACAACTAGAATGTTTAAAAAAAAAAAAAAAAAGCATCTAATACCCCCTAAATATGAGAGGGAATAAAACAGTTTTGGTCTTGAGCTCTAGAGTCAGATCTGAGTTCAAATCCCCAGTTTACCACCAAGCAGCTGAAAGAGCTCAGAAAAGTGACTTAAAGTTCCCTCACCTCTTTAAGTCTCAATTTGCTCAACTGCAAAAATGCATCAACTGTAAGGTTGTTGTGAGGATTAAAAAAATGCCTAGTATGTAACAGGTAAATAATTGTGGGATTTTGTTTTTCTTTCTAGGTCTATTCTGAAGAAAAATGGCAAATTATCTTAATACCCTAGGATTGTCATAACAATTGTCATTGCATGAAAACACCATGTGATCCTGGACCCCACTGAGAAAGGTATGTGTTTATCTACACTTATATGTGTGGACATGTGAGTGAGAATGTAGACTAGTAAGACTGATTTCAGTAATCCAAAGTCCATCTGGGTATATATTCTATTTTCCTAAGATGAATATAACAGAAAGAAATAGTCTGATCTTAATAAACTATTAAGATAGTTTAATGGATCCAGTCTAATATACCCACTCCACCCCTCTATCCCAAAACAAAGTCTCTTACCTAGCCAATCCTTCTTCATAGAGATAGATGACAAGAGGATCATAGGAAGTCACAAGCACATAGAGGCGCAAGTCAAACTTGAAATCTAGAAAAAAAGTTTGGATTTATAAGAAAACAAAGTTTATTTGTTTTCTGATATAGAATCAACAGGACAATGTAACCAAGAAATATGAAAGAAAGAACATTCCTCCTATCCATATGAAACACATACTGCCCATATACCTTGCCTTTTGAACATAACTAATAATTACATAATTGTATTATGTATATATAGTACATTGTTATTATATATAATGTGTTTAATGCATATATATAGTTCAATTATATATACTGCATAGTTTGCATACATATGTATGAATTATATGATCTATAAAGCACTTTATCTTATATTATCTCATTTCACCTTCAAAATAATCCCATGAGGTAGGTATGGAACAAGCGTCATCTCTGGAGCCACAGGTGCTAAGAATTTCACACTAGCTTAATAAAGACTTACTAAAGAAGACTATGAAAAGGTTAAAAAGTATAGCAAGATGTAGCCCAATTTCATCAAGGGCCTAACACAACTCACCATCTATGAGCAGGGGGTTGCTAATGTAACGGGAGACCAGGATGTTCTCTTCGAGGGAAATCTGGTTTGGCTATTGAGTAAAGAGAAAGAATGAAAAAGTAGAAATGCAAAGGAATCCTAATTTACAATAAGGGAGGAAAGTTCTTAACCTTTAAAGGAATGATAATATAGAAAACTAAAACTCTAGGACAAGTTTCCCTCCAAGGTACCCATATATTCAACAGGCTACATAACATATCACTTCCATAAATTCTGTGGGTATCTAATTACAGTGGAGGAAAAAGAAGTTTACACAGCACCTCTCACATAATAAATACAGCCTAAACAGCTTTAAAGATTTATATATATGATATTTATATGATAGTTATATGCCAAGAAAATATGAGCAACATAAAAAAATAAATAAAAACTTACTTTCTCCCAAATGTAAACTATGATGGAAATTTAAAAATACTACTACTATTCTTAAATGAAGGCTTTCATTAAGTTGTTTAGTGAACTTACAGATCCACAATGGATCCTAACATTTCCTCTGTGAAATAAAATGGATATTTGATTGATTCTCTCAAGGGTACTTCCTAAGTAACTGCAAAGACTGAATTAGATCTTTTAAAGATTAGTTCAATCTTTAAAAGGGGAGGAAGGGGTGGGTAAATTCACACCTAATAGGTATAATGCACGCTATATGGGTGATAGACACACTTATAACTTTGACTCAACTGTACAAAAGCAATTCATGTAACCAAAACATTTGTATCCCTAGAATATTCTGAAATTTAAAAAAAGATTTCTTCAATAAAAAAAGTTATTTATACAATAAATAGTGAGTACGTTGGACACTATACAAGGCACTGGGGATAAAGTAATAAAGAAAATAGACACAATCCCTGCCCTCATAGAACTTAAGATTTAGTATACCCTATCCCAAAAGAGTTTAATATTTAGGTAGAGGAACAGCAAAATATACATAATTTACATGAACACAAAACAACATATCCACAAATACAAGATGTCAGGTTGCAAAGTCAAATGCAAACCAGTCAGGTGGGCCAGTTGGGGAAAGCTTGTTCTGGAAGAGCAGGTGCAGAAGTGAGTGTTAAAGGCTATCAAGCACATGTGGAGAGGAAAGGAGGCCATCATGGGAAGGTGGCAGGCGCAAAGTCCAGTCAAAAGGAGGGCAGACAGATTCACAGACCTAAGGCTAACAGACTACTGAGACATAACAAAGGCATGGCAAGGAGGGAGTGACCCCACTGGCAAAGAGATCTGCACCCTAGCAAGGGGTGTTTAGATTTAACATGGTAGGCAGCAGGAAGTTATTATGGGCTCTAGTTTAAGGAAACAGTAAGATTAAAGTATATGAAACAGAACAACACCATGTTTGATTAGATTAAGACAGAGAAATCAGCTGGAAGTCAGCACAATCTATGTAGGACAAAAGGATTCCTAAAGGTCAGTGGTAATGATAATAATTATGATGATGATAGCCACAGAAGCAGCAACAGAAATAATTATGAACATTTGCAGAAAAAATTAAAATTTAATAAATATACACAACATTTCTATGTGCAAAGCACTGTTCTAGTGTATCACAGTATTATTTCACTTAATCTTTACCCAACCATGTGAGGCAGGTATATGACTATCCACATTTTACAGACGAAAAGAGAATCAGAGAGCATCAGGGACCTGCCCAAAGTCACACAGCTAATAAGCAACAGAGCAGCAATGGAACCCAGGCAGTCCTGCCTCAGAGATTTAACTTTTAAGCACTATTCATACCTCTCCCCAATACTCTGCCCCCAAATAATTGTCCCCCATATTCAAAAGTTTGTCTTTGTAATAATGCATTTCCTACCCCACATACAATTGTTCATAAAGTAAAAATAATTTTGTGACCCATAACATTATACACAACCACAATGAGCAACTCCAGAGTCAGAATAATAAGATTCCCCTCTCGTTTCCCACTCTTGCTATCTCCAAGTCAGAACATAGCTCTCACAGCCCATCTCTATGCATCATATGGACACAACGACATCAGTACTGATTCATCCCTAACAAACTTAATCACTCATACTACTTCCTGACTCCTTTACATTTCTTGATAAGTTTCTCACAAGCACTATCTCCATTTTGAACCAGCTTAGTAAGAACTGATGCAATCATTATACAGCTACACCTAGCTGTGTTCTAAACCTAAAATTAAACAATTACAGCTCTCTCCCTACTGAGTAACACCTATAGGCTACAAGAGATACAAATCCACTCAACTTTCCTCCAAACCAGAAAATAAACTGGTAGTGGTCTTCACTCCATGACACACCTGCTGCCCATGCCCATATCCTCTCTTCCCTTCCTCACTATACACATTTATCTTTTGAGTTACTAAACTTAACATAAACCCTTACATTATTTAGGTAACTTTAATATTTGTTCTACTGTCTTTACCTCTCCTTTCTATCTGCATTGGAAATTATAAGCTTATGGAAGAAAAAAATGGTTCTAGTAAACAGTTTCTTTCCATAGTGCTATACACTGAACAGCAACTAATGAAAGCATTTTTATATCTTCAAGCCTGTTTCATCAATCCCCAATTAACTCATTTTAAATTATTTCAATTCCAAGTTCAAATTGCCTCCCAAAGTTTGCTAAAGCAGGAATCTGAACTGTTGAGAAAATTGGAAACACATCCATTTTTCCTACTGGACCTTAAGATTAAAGCTCATGGTATCTGTTAAGTCATTGTAAAGAAGAATGATATAGAGGTTAAGAATATGTACTCTGAGTTACAACCTTGACTCTACCACTTACTAAGGGAATATTTAATAATAACTACTTCATAGGGTTTGTATAAAGACTAAATGAGATTATATTTGGAAGGCACAGTGGCAGACACACGTTAAATGCTCAGTAAATATCACTTATCAATATTGCTGCAAACTTAATAGTATCTACGTGGTTCTAATTACTAAGTTCCACAACTTGACATCATTCATTACTGCATGCCACATGCCATCCTACTCAAGAGCAGGGCACTGAGTTATAATGGAGATAGGTAAGAATTAGGAGATACATAAGAATTAGAAGAATTTCTCAAAAGATTTTAAGGAGTGACAGCACCTGGTATACAGTAGGCACTCCCTAAATATTTGTTAAGTAATGGGAAACATAGAGAGGACCTAAGATAAAAATACCTAAACAAACAGAAGAGAGAATAGAACTATATTCACAAGTCTAGGAGTGAACAGAGTGACAACCTAACACTCTCCTGATATGTCAAAATCTCAGGGAATATATTAATACTATTTCTACCATGGATAATGTGTGAGACAAAGATGACAAAAATCTGATTTCCATAATCAAATTCACACCTTAATCAGGAAACACCAGGTCTTTGCCCTCCTTGATTTGAATGTACCAAATTGGGAAAATATGGCATTTCGTCATGGTTACTGAAGGAACTAGAGCAAACACCACTTTGTTCCTTTACACTATACCTCTAGAGTTAAAGAGCACATCTTTAAAACACCATGTCAGCCAACCAACCAAGATGCTTCCATCTGCAGGAGGCCACAATTCTCTGTTCAGCATTACATAAAAGCAATGCTTTTTCTATCCTTTATCCTGTTCTCGGAATGGTAAAAGTTGCTATTTGCAGACATTTTCCAAAAGGTTATGACTATTCTAAGGAAGTTTTAATAAGAGGCCTTCTCACTCCAGTGGGAAGACAGGGAGAGATGTTTTCATTTGGCCCTTACAACTAACTCCAAACCCCCTGCCAAATCCCTCACCCGCTCACATTAGTTCTGCTCACAGACCCTGCCCCCTTAGCACTCCCCCTCTCCTCCTCGAATCTAAAAGAAAAGCAGGCAGCAGCCTTGGAAAGAGTTACTTCATCCAGTTGGCTAATGGGTCACATATTCCATGGGAAAGGATCCAGGTATGGAAAAGAAGGGACGGTTAGGCCTTCTGTGTAAGGAGAAAGAGGAGTATTAACGACATGGTTTGTAGGTCTGGGTAAAAGGTGATAAAATTCCAGCTTTGGGGGTGAAATGGGAATATTTTCCAATTATGTCCACATGCTGCCAGCTCCCCTCATGCCTGCTGGCATCTTCCCAGGCTTCTGTCTGGCACCTCCACTAAATACCTACAAGAATCAGACTCATTCCAAAGCTCCACAAAGGGGGAAGGGGAAGGCGAAGGCGAAGGGTTCTGCCAAGTGCTTTGATCTATGCAGGGGGTCTCAAGGGATTCAGCCCAGGGAGAGGTGGGAGGAAGGAAAAGATGCTTACATACTCTGCCAAACACATTCTCTGAAGACATGTCACCCCTTTGAGACTCAATATCCAGTGAAGACTTAGGGCACAGGGTTCTCAGCCCCACCAGGGAAAGTTTAACTTTTGTATTCTTTATGATGCTAGCTTTAAAATAACAAATCACTAGGGCAAAAGAGCGTTCCAAAAGAAAAAAAGTCCCAGATGAGCTGGGAATAGATCCTGTTCTTTTTGACTCATGTCTAAGAAAATAAAAAGCAAATTTGTACCATAGCTGACTCTCAATAGCAATTCCATTTGGCAGCTAAAACCCAAACCCAAACTAGTGCCGTCTATGAGATTCAAACAACACTGGAGCTCCTGGCACAGAACTGAAGGAAAAGCTATTGGAAAGGAGCTTTCACGCCAAGGTCACAGCAGAGACAAGAAAAGAGAGAGCCAAGGCATATGACCAGGGCCTTATGTCACATGAGACTCAGGGTTAAAGGACTCCAGAGTGACCCGGGCCAGGTAACAGAACTTGTAGCCTGGATATGGGGCTGTAGTAGTTGCTCTATCAAAATCAGATCCTACATTAATTCAGCATGAAAGATCTAGCCATCATTGTACAGTTTCAGTACAGACTGAATTTAAGGATTTTTCAATGTGAAAGACTCCTCAGAAAGTTAGTTTCTGCACATACAGAAAATAGCTCAATGTGAAAAGATAAATGGGGAATTTAAGATGGGGTATTGGCCATACACACCCTTTCCTTCCAGAATTCCACTGGAAAGAGATAGAAAAGGATATTTTCAAAAGAATGAAATGAAAACAAGGCTAGAAAAAAGTAAAAGGATCCAGAACAGACCAAACGTTTAAGGAAATCCTAAAAGATAGAAAGCAGATGGGCTCATGTTGAGAAAACATAGCAGAGGAAACCCCAGGCCAAAATATGAGAGGTGAGAGTGATCTTCCCAAGGAGGCCCCTGCAAAGTTCCAAGCTGGTAGGCAACAAACATGAAGACCAGGGTGGGCCAAGGAACAAGAATCAGATAATTAATTAACAAACAGCATTTTGCCATCATTCAGCAGCAATGTGAGTACACAGATCTGACAGAGAAGAGTAGAAGTTGAGCCCACTCTATCCCCAACAGACACAAAAAGGAAAGGTAGTTCTGCCGAAGAGGAAAATCCCCAAAATCTTTCTCTACATTCACAATAAGGCCCATTCTATTTTGGCAAGGTGGAAGGGGCATACTCCTCACACATGTCCTGACCCACATCCATCTAAAGCAAAGCCTGACAGTCAATGTGCTTTGCCCTTACATAAAACTCACAGTCATCCTCCTCCAGAGAAAGGCTACAAGGGAAGGAGTCCTACACAACTATAGGAGAAGCCCATGCCAGCTGCCAATTTCAATCAGCCCAGTCTTTTGTTCACAAATATGGCCCCAACACCTAAGGATCATCAAAACTGAGAAAATCCAATAGCAGGAAAAAAGACAATCCCAATGAAATTCAAGTACAGAAGAAAACTTTATAAAAATTTCAACTAGTATCTTCAGAAAGACAGGCAGGCAAACTGAATCCACTAAGCAACAACAGGGTGCTATTTATAAATAAAAATAAAGCAAATCAGAAAATAAGAGTTTCTAGAAACCAAAATATGATATCCAATACAAAAATACAGTAGATGAATGAATAACAAAATGGGTAGAGCTCAAACTAGTGCTCCAGAAGATACAGACGATGAAAAGACAAAGAATTTAAAAATGAGACAAAAGTTAAGATGAAGGGAAAGACCAAGAATTCCTCAAAAAGGAGGCAGAGACAAGATAGTAAGAGGGTAATTTTCCCTGAACTAAAGAAAAACTCTAGTTTCCAGACTGAAAGAGTCCACCGAATGTTCAAGACAAAGAATGAAAAAAAGGCTGAACTTAAACACTGGTTAAATTTCACTATCCCAATGCGATAAAGTCTGTTTCTATTGACTTGAAATTTTCTACTCAATTTATAGATAAAGCAGTGAAACCAAATCATAATTATTGAAGAGAAATATAAATATTTAAAATATAAAAAATAAAAACTAATCAAACTTAGAGATGGAATGTGGGAGGGAGGGTAGGATGTGATGTGAGCTCAACAAATATCAAACTCAGAATTAAAAATGTAAAGTCAAGAAGAAAAAAATAAATCAACTGCATTAAGTTACTGTTAAAAGTCTAAGGAATGAAACAAGTTGGAATTTTATTTACTCTATATATGTATTCAATTTAAACAACTTTTAATGAGAGTTTTGCAAAGAATCAAGATACTGATGGCTTTTGAAAACAAGAAAAAGAAGAAGAGTAGACAGAGGGAAGAAGGGAAGGGGAAGGCAGCAGCAGCGAGGATGCCAAATTAACATTAATCTGCTTTATAACCTTGAGAGCGGGAACCCAAAGTTCTGCTCACAGTAGAAGCTAAACATATATGCTACTAATTAATGCTTAGTGCTGAGGAATTAGCAAGGCAATATGCTGAAAGCAGAAAAGGTACCTCTTTTTCTGCTGACACAAAAGGCTGCCCTCCCCCAAATTTTCACGGAGTTACTTGTTAAGCTATGGACTAACTATTGGAGCAGGAGGAAGTTCCTGCCAATAAGGTGAAAAGTAGCCAACTCATATCTACCCTCAACTTACTACTGAATGCAGATTTCAGAAGGGCACATCTGCTCTTAATGAAATGGATACTAGTGAATGCTCTTAATGAAATGATATTAGTTAGTATCCCGGACAAAGGGTAAGGGAGAAAAAAACAAGCTAAGGAAAGAGATTTGCCATCTGCTGGGTACTTACGTTGTTGATCAGGTAGACGCCCCGCCCCCTAGAAGAAGCCACTGGTTTTACTATCCAAGGTCCCCGGTCCTTTGAATATGAATCTGCTCAAAATATTGGGAGATAAAAAAGGGGAGAAACAGAGAGATAGAATAAACATGTTTATTGTCTTAACTTTCAATGATGGTTATCTATTCAGGGACCCCAAAAATCTTCCAAATTTCTAAGTGTAGGACAGCAGCTAAAATTAGCATTTTGGACTAGCCTTAAAAAATGAAAATGAGGAGGGGGGCATGGGCAATATACATAACCTTAACATTTGTACTACCATAATATGCTGAAATAAAAAATAAATAAATAAATAAATGAAAATGGGCTGGACACAGTAGCTCATGCCTGCAATCCTAGCACTCTTGGAAGCCCAGGCAGGAGGATCACTTGAGGTCAGGAGTTCAAGACCAGCCTGAGCAAAAAGTGAGATCCCGTCTCTACTAAAAACAGAAAAAATTAGCCAGGCAAGGTGGCATGCCTATCGTCCCAGCTACTTGGGAGGCTATGGCAGGAGGATTGCTTAAGCCAAGGAGTTTGAGGCTGCAGTGTGCTACGAAGACCTCACTGCACTCTACCCAGGGTGACAGAGTGAGACTCTATCTCAAAAAAAGAAAAAAAGGAGGTAGAGAATGAGGGGGCAGGAGAATAGGGAGGGAGAGGGGAATAAGGAGGAAGAGAAAGAGGAGGAGAAGAGGACAGCAAAATTCCTTACATAATTATTTCTCCCACCATTTCCCCTCTTTCTTGAATGAGAGGACAAAAACAAAATAAGGCAAATATCTGGATGTGAGTCTATTACTGTCACAAACAACCTTCATGAATCTTTGAAATTCTTATCTCTGTAAACTAAAGGACCTCCAGCAAACAATGACAATGTTAAGTCAAAAGCTAGATCTCCCAATATCGTTACTTTCCTTAAATAATTCTTTAGAGCTTTTAAGGAAAAAATCACCTTAAATCAAGCAATGTGCAAGTGGAGAGGAAGGACAATAATTTACAAGTGATTAAAAGGTATCATTTGCTTCTGTTCCTTTCCCAAGTTCAATACCTTTGGATTGTGAGGAGAGAAAGCAGACAACTGATACTTAAGACTCCCAAAGGCTTATAAGTGGTCTGGGGAGAAGTGGATAGCTCTGTCTTCCACTTAGGGAATGTCAGAAATTGGGGGAGAAGCAGGGACAGGGGACTCAGTGCTGCTGATTCTCACATCCCTGACAGGAGAGAGGTTACCTAGTCCTTACTCTCAACTCTGCCCCTTTCACTTTTGATGAAATACCTTAGGTAGCAACAGTGGTTACTGCTTCAAAGTAGGAGGGGAAAAAATGGAAGATGAAAAGAGATTTACTTTTTCTTGATATTTTTCTTCTCTGAAAGAAGAGAAACAGGGAAGGAATAGGTAAGTGTGGGGAAATAAGTATGTACAACCTTTCTGAACAGGTCTCAGAATTGCCTAGGTTGCTGTTCACCAGGATATTAGCACCGTTTCATCTAGAATAAGCAACATAAACCTAATAAAATTCCCTATAGTTCTTGTTTCTCTGGTTTGAGTTATTAAGAGGCAAGTACTTCCACCTGTGTGCTAATCCACCTACCCTCTTCCCCTAGATAAGTACACAAACTTCCCTCCACCCTGCATCTGGGCCTACACGAGGCTGCCTTCAGGAGGAACAAGCTTGGCTCAGCCCCTCTCCCCCAAGACTTGCCAGCAACTACTGCCTCTTTTTCTTTCCTCTCCCTCTGATATGAGCCAAATAGTCTCTTCAAGGCCTCCCAACAGGAACTTGACTTTGTCAGTGCCACAAACCATTTCACCAGGAGGAAAAAAAGATCTCTTTGTTCACTCTCCCCCTTCTTCCCCTGCCTTTTCCCTTGATGCAGAATTAACAGAATTAGAAAAATTCAACGTGCCACACAGAATTTAAAACTCTATGAACAATTCTACTTCCAGAACTGTATCCTCTAGTTCTACTCACACATGTGTGAAATGTTTTACATACAGGATTATTCAATGCTGCATTATAATAGCAAAAGATTCATTAAATACATTGTATTGCATCTATATGAGGGGTCAGCAAACTTTCTTTTTTTGCAAAAAGCCAAATAATAAATATTTTAGGTTTTATGGGCTGTGCAACCCCTGTTGCAACTAACCAACTCTGCCATGGTAGCTTGAAAAGAGCCATAAACAAAATGTAAACAAAGGGGCGTGGCTGTGTTTCCATTAAACTTTATGCATGGGCACTGAATTTCATATGATTTCCACATGCCACAAAATCTTATTCTTTTCCCAACCATTTAAAAATGGTTCTTAGCTCATGGGACATACAAAAACAGGCAGAGGACTGACTTGACTCAAGGTCTATAGTTTGCAGACATCTAATCTACAAAATAGAATATTGAGCACACACACAAGATGAGAACTGATATGGAATGATCTCAAGGACAGCTTGTTAAGTGAAAAAATGGACAATGCAGGGAAATGCATATTGTGTACTCCCATCTGTTCATTTACACACACACATTATTTGCTAGTAAATGCAAAGAATATCTCTAGAAGGATATGTAAAAAAGCTAGTAACAGATCACCTCTAGAGAGGAGAACTGCATGACTAAGGAAAAGAAGAGAAAGGAGGCTTTTCATTGACTATACTTTTGTAATTTCTTTTCTACCATGGGAATATATTATCTTTCAAAAATAAAATTTATATAATTTTTAAGTCCTGCTATGGAAAACATATTTATAGTTATATATGACAAATAAATCTCCATAAAGTGAGGTCACTGAGTGCGTATATGTATAGTTTACATATTTTTTTCATTTTGCCATTTCCCCCAAATACCAAGGAGACAACGGATTACCTAAGCACAGACGCTATTAATATTAAAACAAGAATTACAAAATGTTCTAGACTTCATTCTTTCAATACCTCTAAGTATCTAATCTGTGTTAATAAGTTTGCTGGGTAAGAGCATACAGTAGTGAAAAGAATAGTCTTTACTCATACAAAGATTAGAGCAGCATAAAAGATAGACATTGAACAAGTTATTATAAACACTGGAGTTATAAAGAGGAAGTACAGGGTGCTATAGGAATATCTAAGAAAATGACCAAAACTGTCTGGAAACAGTACCCTCTGCAGTGATAAGCACATATAGAAAACTCAATTTCCAGGCTGGGCGCAGTGGCTCACACTTGTAATCCTAGCACTCTGAAAGGCGGGAGGATCGCTTGAGGGCAGGAGTTCGAAACCAGCCTGAGCAAGAGCAAGACCACGTCTCTACTAAAAATAGAAAGAAATTAATTGACCAACTAAAAATATATATACAAAAAATTAGCCGGGCATGGTGGTGCATGCCTGTAGTCCCAGCTACTCGGGAGGCTGAGGCAAGAGGATCACTTAAGCCCAGGAGATTGAAGTTGCTATGAGCTAGGCTGACGCCACGGCACTCACTCTAGCCTCAGCTCTGTCTCAAAAAAAAAAAAAAAGAAAACTCATTTCCAGAAAAGGGTAAATCGAACTAAATGTAATTTTTGCCACCTAAAACATTGCTTAATCAATCCTACACTGTGAATTAGACTTATCAGAAGTTAGCATTTCTAGTGTTTCACTATTATCACATTCTTGAAATTATAAATATCCAAGACTTATCTTTCATGAGAAGCTTCTGTCTTTGATTTGTAGTATTTCAGAACAAGTATTGATTTCTTTTATAGGTTCTAAAAATATGGGTAGGAAAGAAGAAAAATCAGAGGAAGAGGCAGGGCAGAGAGCTCAGGAAGCTCTGCTTTAGGATGAAGATGTACCAAACGGGTTCCACAATTCTTTCCAGTGCCTTCCATTCCTAGAGTGACAGCATGCCTGGTCCAATGGAAAGAGCATTGAATCTGGAGTAGAAAGACCTGAGTTCTAATTCTGCCTTTTCATCTATGTGACTCCATGGGTAATTTACTTCTCCATCTATTCTCATCTTTAAAATGAGGATAGTATTTATCCTGAATTGCTATATGATCTCTTACAACTCTAAAATTATGATTCTATAAATTTACTGATTGCTTTGAAACCTACTCCACTGTAACTAATTGCCTGAAATGAAAATTCGTATCTTAGAATAATTTCTCAGTCTTTCTTACAACTAGAGAGGGCCACAGAACACAATGCTGGGGAAAATGTTGCTTTTCTGATACTGGCACCACCGCATCTTCTTTGTTGCTTTCATCTTTCTGCTTAGAAAGCTGTCCTTGGGGAACATGGCTGGAGCTGGCAACAAATCCTTGGGTTCTTCAGGGCCACAGACCTCCAATTCTACTAAAAACTGTAACTGGCAATGGTGACCCCAGGAACCTAGAGAGGTCTGTGCCATGTAATGCCAACCCTTATACTCTAATAACTGGGAACAGTCTGGGGAGTATCCAAGCTTTAACATCTCTGGAGATAGTCATTAGTCTCTCTGGGCTACATCTCCACAGAGACAGATTTAAGGTTTTCTCTTATTAGAACAAAAAGCTATAAATTCATAAAATTACCTCGGCTGGTATCTCTAGTGTCTTTAAGCAATCCTCATGTCCAATCCTTATCAGTTCTCTTTCAAAGGCCCTTCAGAAGCTATTCTAATTCCTTCCTGCCCCTTTCAGACACCCAAACCCATCCCTAGGCCCCTCACTCCTGGCACAAGATCTCATCAGCCCCTTCACCAAGAAGGCTGGGAATTGTAACATAAACCTACTTACCTGCTTTCATCTTCATCTAAAATGTTGTCTGGATCATCACTTAGCCTTCTCCCTTTCCTCCTTTTAGGGGAGATGTGCCCATCTCTCTTTCCAACATGCATCCTTCTGTTTGGGCTCTTGGTGTAACCCTCCTCCTGCCTCCCCTGAGACCCTCATTCCTCTTCAAAATTCCTCTCCTCTCTAATCATGTGTGATCAATATCCCTCTTCCTCTCTTTCTTTTTCTCTCCCTTAGTAATCACATCCATCTCCATACCTGCAACTTCTAGAATCTACGTCTCTGGCCAGCACTCAAAGCTGCTTTTACAACTGCCTATAAAACATACTGCATGGGTGCCCTGTAGACACCCAAATCCATACCTTGTCCAAAATTTAACATGTCTCTTCCTCTTTAATAGCTCCTCCTTTACGTTCCTGGTTACATTCCTTGGTTAAAGGAATGATTCGCCTAGCTTCTCTCAAAGCTCTGGAAGCCTCGTTTGCTCCGCCTTACTCCCCACATTTTAGTCAGTGAATCTTGTTCATTCTCCTACTCTTTCTACTCATGCCTATCCATTTCCACTTCCTAATTCAGTCCATCAATACTTCTTATCTACATCACTGCAATAACTTTCAAAGTGACCACCTTTTCCTTCTTTCTGCTTCTTCTGATTCATTTCACACAATTATTTTTCTAAAGGCCAATCTGTTTATACCTCTTTCCTGCTCAAAAATTTCCTATTGTCCATATTCTATTAAGCACTACAGGGCCCGGAACACAAGAGTCATGAAGAAAACAGAATTTCCAAGTTTTATATGCTAGAGGGATATCAAAGGAAAAGAGGGGAACTTTAAACAGACTTCACAAAGAGGAGGAATATCTCTTTGAAAGAGGAGGTGGTAAGAATATATGGATTTCTTCCCTAATATGTCAACTTAACACAATTTACCTGATGATGTTGGATTTCTGCCAACTGAATTTAAGCACAGAGGTCACAGACCCTGTGACAACTGGCTGGCCCAGGATGACTGGCATCCTGGCAGGACTGAAATCAAGATTCTTCTTTACTATCCCATCTTCCCTGTCCCCTCTCTTCCACAGACACAGTAAGTCCCTGCTGTGGTCTTTGCATGGCAACAGCAGTGATTGATTTGTACTGGGGAACAAGGAACATCCTAGTCTGCAATAATTTCCCTGGGGCTAAATGTGGTAGCTTTAGGTTACAGCTGTAACAATGCTGTGTGTTCTTTTCACCTTTCAAAGTCATTTTTGTTAAAAAACAAAACACATAAGAGTTTGAATAAAATGTTGAAGAGGCAATTCAATTGAAACACAGGTCTGGCTTGAGCTGATGGAGAAACTCTAACTCTACCCCATCATCTGAATGAACACCACCACTCCCCTTCCCTACCTCCAGAGGGCAGGAAGAGTACAGCTGAAGAAGAAATAGTAGGGGGAAGGAAAAGAGGACTTTCAAGTTAGATTCTTTAGACTTTCATAGGGAATTATTCTGGACCTTAATTTCTCTTTAGAAATTCAACAGGAGAGGTTCATATCTGAGACTCTTTTATGTTGCTGACATGTTACTTGAAGTGTTTTTCTCCCATCATGTTTGGCTTATTATGTAATTTTTTACTTTTATTATATAACAATATAGTTATACATAACTTGAAATAAGAAATAGTATTAAACATTTAAAGGGCACTATAGGGGCCTATCAAGCCCCATTCCAAGTGCTTTCCACATATTAACCTACTTAAACATCCTGACAATACCAGGTCAGCAATAGTAATAGTCCCATTTTACAAATGAGGAAGCTAAAGCACAGAAGTTTGAGTAACTTGACTAAAGTCACATAACATAATTCTTAACTACAAATTTTCAGCTTTGAGTGCACTGTAGCTTTGAAGTTGATTCACTTAATTAGTTGCCTACATGGCCCATTTCAGAGCTTTCTGTGGACAAACAATGAAATGCCAACCAATGGTCCCAGCTGGAGCAAGTAGTGCTATCAGAGAAATGGGAAGCAGTTTCTGATGAAGTGTTGGTCTCTTCTCCCAAAAGATGAACACCTCACTGGGTGACCGAGTCAGATTGGCAAGTCCAACAGGTTAAAAGAACAAAAAGTGCCAAGCATGGTGTGTTAACACCTGTAATCTCAGCTACTCATAAAGCTGAGGTTGGGGGATCACTTGAGCCCACGAGTCCAAGGCTACAGTGAGCTATGATCATGGAGTGCCATGAAAGTACTCCAGGCTGGGTGACAAAGCAAGACCCTGTCTCTTAAAGAAAAATAAAAAGAACAATCAAAAGTTAGGAGGTCTAGGGAGAACTCTTTTCTCTCCATGGTACTTCCTCTATCCATAAAACAGTAACAGTCTCTTGGATTTCTTGAGAGAAACACTGCCTGTCTGTTTTCTCTGTGTGTCTCATCTGATGCTCTTTATAGGAGAAGTGACTTCTCTTGGTACCACTAATGGGACATGGTCATTGCAAACATGCTGCCAGTGTCTTTTAGCCATAAAGCAGAGAGGTAAAGAGCACAGCCTTTAAAGCCAAACTGCCAGTTTGAACCCCAATTCCACTATTTGCAAGCTGCATAATTTATGGGAAATTTCTTAACCAATCTGTACCTTAGTCTCCTCATCTGTAAAACTACCACAGGGTAGAGGTGCCACTTAAGAGAGTGCCTTATAGAAAGTAAATGTTCATTAAGGGTTAGCTATAGCTACTATACTATTTATAGTTACTATTTAAACTCGCACAAAAGACCTGCCTCACACCTTCTCTGTACTTGTGCCTCTTCTGTGTTCTAAGCCTACTGAGCCAGGCTCTGCCCTGCGGAGGAAAGCCTAAAATAGCCAGCGCCTCTCCCTGGGCCAGGGTAGGTAAGTTCACAATAAGGCAAAAGAAATAAGAAGCCCATATTAGACCTGGATCCAGGCCACATGATCCTATGTCACTTTACCAGGAATACAGCTGACATTTAGGTGTCTGTCTAATTGGTACTTACATGTGTTTTGTGATTAGTCTGGACTCAAGAGGAGAGGACGTGACTAACTTCCAAACTCTAACATCAAAAGATACCTGATACTTGTACCCCAAAGAAAATAAACCACAAAAGTCCCAAAACCAAGTTGGCAAGAATGTGTCTTAAATGGCAAGGGGAAAAGGGACACCAAAAAGGAAGCATATGTATTAACAATTAATATGCAGAAATACAAAGTGTTCTTACATAGGCACTAACTCCGTTAGTGGAGAGAAAAGACATTAAAGCAAAAATACGCAAGATAGGGCATGCTTAAATGACCCCAATGAGGGCTTACATAAATGATACTGACAAGTTTACTAAGAATAAACATAGGAGTACACAATCAGAATAAAAATAGTTTTAAAGTTAGCTCTGCAACTTTTACCAAAGAAGCAGAATTTTTTAGGGATTTGAAAAGCCTCAATTGGTTGACAACTTGAGGCAGTCTCTGGCATAAATTTTAACTTAAGTTCAGTTACTGGGGATTGGGGCATTCTCAGGCAAGCACTTACTACAGAATTCCGCGTACTCGGCTGGCAGGAGAAAGGTCTGAGGGAGGATGTGAAAAGCCTTGAATCCATGCGTATGCTGCATTCGAATGATGTTTTTGTACAGTCGGTCCTTCCGGGTTAGCTCATAAGACCTAAAAATCAAAAAAGTATTTCCATTTCAGTAAATCATGACTCAGAAGTTTTCCTATGTTATCACATTCTAAAGAGGTCATAGTTCACAGTACTAGAGCAATAAAAAAAATAAAACAGGAAGAGTCGAGGTGAAATATCAGAGATATTGATTTTCGAGCTTAGTACTTAAGGAAATCAGATACAATTTTATTTTTATTGTGAAGGTACATCCTCATTCTTTCAAATGCACAGTTTGGCTTATAATTATCTGTCAAATTATTTTTTCTTAGAGCAATTTTTGTGCAACCATGGATAAGTAAAAAATTTGTTTTATTTTCTAGTATGAGCTCCGTCGTGGAACCAATGCTGCACAGGCAGCTCAAAATATCAACGAAGTGTTTGGGAAGGATGTGGCTAATGAGGACACAGTATGTCAATGGTTTGAGAAGTTCTATCCTGGTGATTTTAATCTTGAAAATGAGTCACGTGGGCAACTTGACACCAAGGTAGATAATGATGAGCTGAAAGCTGTAGTGGAAGTGAATCTATCTCAGCCTACACGTGAATTAGCAGCAAAGTTCGACATTACTATTCCAACAATACTGGACCGTTTTAAACAAATCAGCAAGGTAAAGAAGCTGGATAGATGGGTACCGTGTGAATTAAACAAGCGTCAGAAGAGAAATCATCTTGCAGCTTGCCTTTCTTTGCTGTCACAACATAAAGGCAAGCCATTTTTACACTGTATTGCTATGTGCGATAAAAACAGATTCTTTTTGACAATCGCAAGCATTCAGCACAATGGTCGGATAACAATGAAATGCCAAAACACAGTCCAAAACCGAATATTCATCAAAAAAGCTAGCGGTGTCTGTTTAGTGGTCCAGCGCTGGTATTATCCACTACAGCTTCATGAAACCTGGTCAATTAATTACAGCAGATGTTTACTGTGACCAGTTGGACAAAACAATGAGGATACTTGTGATCAAACAGGCAAAATTGGTCAATAGAGACAGGCCAATCCTCATGCAAGACCACATGTCGCACAAACAACGCTGCTGAAACTACAGAGGCTGGACTTGGAAACTCTGTCATCCACCATATTCATCAGACCTTGCACCAACTGACTACCACTTCTTCCAGGTTTTGGAGAACTTCTTGCAAAGAAAAATATTCAATTCTCAACAAACTGTGGAAAATGCCTTTCACATTTCATCACCACTCACTCCCTGGCATAAACAAGCTACAGTTAAGATGACAAAACTGCATAGATAGCTTAGGCTCATACTTTGATTAATTGTACTGCTTTCTGTATGAGATATAATAACTAAACTTCTCATTTGAAATCAGACATTTCATATTTAATGACCTAATACCATGGGTCTGGTATGTCCCTCTTACACAAGGCCCAAGACAGACCTTAATTTTAGACTGTAATGATCCTATTAAAGTCCCAACTTAGAAACCCCACTGGGAACTTAACATCATCATCAAGAGAAGGATACAGAAGAGGTAAAATTATAAAGGAAGGCAAGGAAATGATCACCATAAAATCAAAGTAATAGTTGCTACCTATATCAGTGGGTATATTCTTATGTACAGTACTGAAAAAATACACTTAGTTAGCTTCAACTGGACTCATAAATCTATGATTTGTTCCACTGCTTAAAAGTCATCTAAAAATCTTTGTTGTAACCATTAAAAATTTACTCCACCTGTTCCTCAGTTCAAATGTTCTACTGTGATTTCAAAGACTGCTTTGTCAAATCTAGGTATCAAACACTTCTCTCTTACCCACTGCCCTCTTCAGAAATCTAGAGCAGAGGCACTCAAATTTTAGTGTACATAAGAATCACCTAGAGAGCTTCTTAACAATGCATTTTCCTGGGCTCCACCTTTCAAAATACTGGGATGAAGCCCAGGATTCTGCATTTGAAATAAGTACCCCAGGTGATTCTGGTATCAATGGTCCAGGGCCCACACTACACCACTGATTTAATCTACAACAGTAATTTCCAAACTTCCCTGTTACAAATCACTATTGCTTTTTAAATATATAACTTTCTAGGTATACATTTACCTAAAAAAGTAAAGTACCTAAAAGGTGCTTCTTAAATATACACCTTCTCTGAAGATAGCGATTTCCATGGATCTGCAATGGGACCTAAGAACGTGTATTTTAAAGTACCCCAGGTAATTCTTATTATTAGGGAATTAGAAACACTGAACCAGAGGGTACAAAAATAAACTTACTCACTTACTCTCCTACAGATGCCCAGTATCAGCGGTCCTCAAACTTTTTTGCTTGGTATACAAATTTTAGGAAACTATATATCCTCTTGCATGTTTAAGTTGACATCTAAGATTTTTCATCATAAATTTTAAATTGTTCTAAAGAATCTGAAGAATGGCAAATACTATTTTAAAATAAAACTATAACACCACACTTAAGTATATTTGATAGAACTTAAATAACATCAGAATTCAATACCTCCCATAGCATTTTAAAAATAGAGAAAAAGTTCATTTTGTTCAGCAAAATTTTCACTTTTTTAAATGTTTTTTACTGAAGTTAACATATATACAGAAAAGTACACACATTACATGTGCAGAGCATAATGAACTTTTACAAAGTGAACATACCTGTGTAACCACCACGCAGGTTAAGTAAAGAAGATTCCCAGAAACTTCCATCAGATGCTCACCTAGACACTATCCCCTAATCACCCTTGTTTTAATTCTTCCATTCCATTTTCTCCAAAAAATGTATTTAGCCTAACAGAACATATTCAGTGCTTACCTTTTATATATCATACCTTCTCTACAGCAAAAATATACATAGGAATTGATATGTAATATTTTTTAATTTCCTGTGAGCAGAAGGCTGTAACTGTTAAAAAAAAAAAAAAGGTTCCCGCTCTCTTTCTCCTATCACCGTAAGTATTGTAGTATACAATTCATAAAAACACCATAAATATTCTAAATTTTGATTAAAATGTATTACATGCAAAAATAAAAATTCTACTGGAAGACAAAAAAAATTAAAGGATTGTCACATTTCAGAGGAGACATGACAACTAAATGCAATGTGGGATCCTGCAACAGAAGAGGACATTAGTAGAAAAACTGGCAAAATAAGAATAAAGTCTGTAGGTTAGTTGATAGTATACCAATGTTAATTTCTTAGTTTTCATAATTATACTAGTTATATCAGATATTAACATTAGGAGAACTGAGTAAAGGATACGCAGGAACTCTCTATATTATTTTTGCAACTTTTCTATAAAGTCTAAAATTATTTAAAATTAAAAGTTGAAAAGTTATGTTAAGAAAGAGTTCACAGGAGAAAATATTTGCATCCTATGCATCTGATAAGGGACTGATAACTAGAATATACTTAGAACTCATGAAAATCAGCAAGAAGAAATCAAATAACCCTATTAAAAAGTGGGCAAAGGACTTGAACAGAAACTTTTCTAAAGAAGACAGAAGAATGGCCAACAAACATATGAAAAAATGCTCAACATCTCTAATCATCAGGGAAATGCAAATCAAAACCACAATGAGATATCACTTAACTCCAGTGAGAATGGCCTTTATCAAAAAGTCTCCAAACAATAAATGCTGGTATGGATGCGGAGAGAGAGGAACACTCCTACACTGCTGGTGGGACTGTAAACTAGTTCAACCTCTGTGGAAAGCAATATGGAGATACCCTAAAGCGATACAAGTGAATCTACCATTTGATCCAGCAATCCCATTGCTGGGCATCTACCCAAAAGATCCAATGACACTCTACAAAAAAGACACCTGCACTCGAATGTTTATAGCAGCACAATTCATAATTGCAAGGCTGTGGAAACAGCCCAAGTGCCCATCAATCCAAGAATGGATTAATACAATGTGGTATATGTACACCATGGAGTACTATTCAGCTCTAAGAAACAATGGTGATATAGCACATCTTATATTTTCCTGGTTAGAGCTGGAACCCATACTATTAAGTGAAGTTTCCCAAGAATGGAAAAACAAGCACCACATATACTCACCAGCAAATTGGCATTAACCGAGCAGCACCTAAGTGGTCACATAGGTACTACAGTAATAGGGTATTGGGCAGGGGGGAGGGAGGTGGGGGACGGGTATATACATATATAATGAGTGAGATGTGCACCATCTGGGGGATGGTCATGCTGGAGACTCAGACTTGTGGGGGGAGCGGGGGAAATGGGCATTTATTGAAACCTTAAAATTTGTACCCCCATAATATGCCGAAATAAAAAAAAAAAAGAGTTCACAGTATTATTGAAAATATTAAAGTGCTTGAATTTCTTGTGCATGTGAGTTAGAAGTCTTTGGATTGAAACAGGAAAAAGATAGCAGAAGAAGCCACAAAGTATAGTGTAATTAGAAAATGGATCACTAACGTTCTCAAACTTACAAGTATAACACATTCAAAGATTACTCAAGGAAAATATAGGTTGGAATTTGTTATTACTGACTCCAAATTGAGATGGAATTTCTATACACCTACACAAATACTTCAAAAACTATGGAAATAAATAATATACTATGAACATGAATTAAGAATGCAGACTCGAGTATGGGCCATTTCAAATACTGCTTCAATATCTATTTAAAACAGAGGCATCTGATTTACCTCCAGCAGCCAGTAATACATTTAGAATACCAAATCCGTATCTTCTCGGCATTAAGGAAAAACATAAGGTTTTAAATTATTTTCTGTCAATGGAGTTCAGGCATAAAATAAAACCAGGATTTGCTATGAAGACTCAAAATACACAGTAACAGAGACAGCACAGGTCAGTTTTTATACACAGTGAGTGGGTGTAAGACCACAGAATTAAAAAAATTAAGAAACAGCCATTATTTCATGAAAATAAGCCGAAAAGCATATGAGGTAACTGAAAATAAAGCTAGTTAGCATGAGAGAGTAACTTGGGTTTAAGTCCTAGAAATAAAATGTAATCACTGACCAAAAAAAATTATTTTATTGGATTTGTATCTCTTCATTACATAGGTGAGACTAGCTTCCCTTTCTCTCCGTTAGGTCATGTATTTCTCCATGGTTGAATGCTGCTAGAATAAAGTGGGGTTCCAGCATTAACATTTTTCCCATTTTCTTTTTCATAGTTGTATACCCTAAGAAATCTTGTTCACATAAATAGTACCTAATATATACATACAGTGTGTACTGTGTGGCAGGCATTGTTCTAAGCACTTTACATCTTGATATATTACAACAGCCCTACGATGTATGTGCCATTAATATCTTCTTTTTACCAATGAGGAAACTGACATCCAGAAAGGTCACTTGGCTCAAGGTCACTCAGCAGAGCTGGACCCTGGGCCCAGGTAGTTGGCTTCTAGCTACTAGGTAATAATACTGCCTCTCTAGGCTGCAGTCAATAAATGCAACTAGAAGGAGTTTTCTATAGCAACAACATTCAATTCTTTGAACTCCTTCCTAATTACATGTCAAAAAAATCACAAAATGATGTGTCATTAAAAATTATGTTTAGGCCAGGAGCAGTGGCTCATGCCTGTAATCCCGGCATTTTTGGAGACCTAGGCAAGAGGATCACTTGAGCCCAGGAGTTCAAGACAAGATCGAGCAACATAGCAGGACCCTGTTCCTACAAAAAATAAAAAGTCTCTAAAACTTTAAAAATTATGTTTAATGGCCTCTTTCACACCCTTGCTTCTGAGATGACAAAGAAAAGAACGAACAATGGTCATGCCAAAAAGGGTAGTGGCCACGTGCTGCCTATTCGCTGCACCAAATGCACCTGATGCGTGCCTAAAGACAAGGCCATAAAGAAGTTCGTCATTTGGAACATAATGGAGGCCGCGGTTGTCAGGGACATTTCTGAAGCGAGTGTCTTCAATACCTATGTGCTTCCCAAGCTATACGTGAAGCTACATTACTGCATGAGTTGTGCCATTCACAGAAAGGTAGTCAGGAATCGTTCTCAGGAAACCCACAAGGACCAAACACTCCTACCACGATTTAGACCTGCGGGTGCTGCCCCAAGACCTCCACCAAAGCCTATGTAAGGAGTTGAGTCCTTGAGGACTAAAGAAAAACTATCTGTTGGAAAAACATAAAATGCAAATTATACTTAAAAAACCAAAAAATACGTTTAATGGTCTATCAGCTGATAACTGGATGTTATCCTTCGAATCTTTAAAAACAAAGAAATGGAAACCACCATCATGCAAAAAGGATTTGTTATTCTGTTCCTAATTCAGAATAGGAATTATTCTGAATTCAATTCAATTTGAATTCAATTTGACACCAATTTTTTTGTACCCTTCTTTGGAACCCTGAAAATTTCCATACCAGGATAGGATAACACACCAGATTAAGAGGCTAGGTGGTTTTTCCTAAGTGGCCAAAAGGGAAAAGAAAAAAGAAAAAAGAAAAAATTCTAGGTGGGCCATTCTTTTATAAAGGTGAAAAACAGTAACTATGAAAGGGAGGTGACAAAGGAGAACCCATTCTTATGAGGTAATCTCATAAAGCTCAATTTTACAAAAGAGAACCACAAACTGTCTCCTTTAAAACCATCCATGTCTACATAGCCCTTGCAAAGTATTAATACATGCTCAGGGATATGAATGCATCAGTTTGATTTCAGACTGCTGCCCTATATGACAAACTACTTCTTCTTTTTCTTTTAGGAATATTAATTATCTTTGCTGGCTACATGCCCCAATGTTAGGAACCTTTAAATGGAACAAAGCAGCCTACAAGAGCATTACCTGGGAAAGTGATTAACCTTTTGCGCTTCAGAGAGGGTGCGAAGTAAGAAGGGCTTCAGGTGGGATCCTGTCCACATCAGATTATAGTCAGTGCTACTTGGATGAACCTAAGGGCAGATAGAAAAGAAAGCAAAACATATGAGAGCTAGCCCCTTTCCAGGAAGAGCAATGGCACACAAGTCTATGGTGATTTTTCATCCGGAGTACTCACAGGGGTGGCCCAGTTAGTATGTGAGCCTAGTGAGACAAAAGCAGAGTATCACAGAACCTAGGGACAATCAAGTTTAAGGAATGGGAGAGTCAGGCAAATCCTAGATGCAGAAAGTAAATAAATTGACCCTTCTATAGAAATATATGATGTCTCATAATATTTTTGCAATATCAAGGTATGAGATGAGGACCCAACCCCAAAACCCCTCTTTCAGACTGTCCTTATGTCCTTGTAGATACTGGGTATAAAGTGTTGATCAGAACTATAATAAAAACTTACAGTAACACACAACTTAGAATTCATTACTTCATTCATTAGAATTCATTCGCCCATTCATTCAACAATTATGTACTCTGTGCCTTTAACATGATAGGTATGATATTAAGTGCTAGAGATAAAACAGCAACAAGACAATACAAACTGGTATCAGAACTTCCCCAAAATGTCTCCTATAGATCTCAACGGAGGATAAGGAACTAGCAACCAGACTTTCATCAACTCTCTCAAAACATCTATAGTGGAAGTCTGTCCAACATGTTTGCCTATCCTTTTTGATGACAACATCCCAATTTTCTGATTTTCTTTGGGGAATGATGTATTCCTTGGTTTTAAAGGAATACATCCTGACCCAAGCCAGGCCAATCATTTGTTCTCCACAATGTGATTCTTGAGTGAAGAAAGGCACAAGGACAATGAATGCAGTCCCTGAGGAGATGATCCTGAAGATTCCTGTTCCTAGATCCATGGGACTGTCCTGGTCTCTCTCCTTCCAAAGGCCTGACTTTTCAGCTTTTTCTCTGATTCTCCTAGCTCCCTCTGCACACCTTTCCTACACATTCCTTTTGGTTTAAGTTAGGTAGAGTCTGTTTCTGTTGCTTGCAATCAAATAAACTTAATTGGTATCAGACAATTCCTTATGGGAAACTCTGCCTCTAGCCCAAGCCCAAAAATATAGCAAGAAAAAAAAACTTTTTTTAAAATCTGTGGAAATGTTTTCCATGTATTGCAAGGAGAAACTGGTAAAGCCACTCAGTTATTCAATCTAGGTTCTGCATCATCACTAAGGATTGGTTTCATGTACTTTCTAGAGCTGGCCCTGTTAATTGGTGAAGTCAGTTAGGTGGCTAGGATTTTCAGCTTTTGAACAGATCAGATGAGGTAGTAAAAGTAAGCTTACTTCATGAAATCCATGGGCTGTCAGAATGCTGCGTACCAGGCGACTGTCCGTTCGCACAATCTTGTAAGACAAATGATAACGTTCTAAAGAAAAACACAGAATCAAATTCAGTAACTAGAAAGTTACATAAAAACAAAAATAAACTGTAAGATGGTGGCTTGTTTAATTATACTCAATAATACTATACCACTACTCTTAAAACTAATATAAATAAGTTAAGGATTATTTTGGACCAAGGGTTCTTAACCTGAAACTTGTTGGGGTTCACTAAACGTGGACAGGGAGAAAAATTACATCTTTGCTTTTGCTACTTTTTTTTTTTTTTGGAACAGGGTCTTGCTCTGTCACCTGGGCTAGAGTTCAGTGGCATGATCATAGCTCACTGCAACACAAGATAGGCCCGGAATATCTTATATGCCAAAAAAAAAGAGAGAAAAATGCTCAAAAACTGATTAGGGACCTGTCACAATCTATGAAGGGACTCCCAATGACCAAATCTGAGACAATCTAAACATAAAAATCAATAGTGAGGCTGAGCACAGTGACTCACACCTGTAATCCTAGCACTTTGGGAAGCCGAGGCAGAAGTATTGCTTGAGATCAGGAGTTTGAGACCAGCCTGAGCAAGAGCAAGACCCCATCTCCACGAAAAATAGAAAAAAATTAGCTGGACTTGGTGACACGTGCCTGCCACTTGGGAGACTGAGACAGGAAGATTGCTTGAAGCAAGCCCAGGAGTTTGAAGTTGCAGTGAGCTACAATGATGCCACTGCACTCTATCTAGCCTGGGAACTGAGTAAGACCCTGTCTCAAAAAAAAAAAAAAAAAGAATAATGACAGAGATACAGAGATAGATTATAATGCATTCATAAAAGAATCCATGAATCCACACTGATTATGAGGTAAGAATGTATAAAGTCCAGCTAATAAATGTAGAAGGAAAAATAGAATTAGAAAATCACCACTTTATAAAAACCATGAAAGAGTGAAGTGATTCAGAAAGGAATCAATGGAAAAGGTACCTGTGCAATGAAGCAACCTGGTGAACACTATCTTAACCATATGATCAAACTTGCCATCACCAACAATGCAAAATAATGACATCATGTACTTCTACATGTGATACACTGAGAAGGACACAACTTCACTAAGCAATATTCCTAGAAATTTTTTTAAATGTCAATCTAAATTTGAAAAAAATCAGATAAGGATAACAATCAAGCTTAAGGATAGCTGCAAAACGGGATAGGGCTGGCACAATGGATAACTGCAAAATAACTAGTCTGGAATATTTGAAAATGTCAATGTCATGAAAGAAAACAAAGTCTGAGAAATGCCTGCAGATTAAAGTAGACTAAAGAAATATGACAACTAAATGTAATCTTTGATTGGATCCTGGATACAAAAGCAAAAAGCCCCTATAAAGGACAAAATTGGAACAATGGGAAAATCTGCATAGAGACTGTAAATTAGATAACATTTTAAGCTGGGCATGGTGGCACACACTTATAATCCTAGCACATTGGAGGCTAAGGTAGGAGGATCACTTGAGGCCAGGAGTTCAAGACAACCCTGGGAAACACAGTGAGATCCCATCCCTTAACCCTTTGTACTCGAATGTCGAGTGTGATTCGACACGGTTAGCAAAAAGTATAGAAATTAAAATTACTCTTTGAATGTATCAATAATTTGAAATATAAAAAAATCCAAGTAAATAAGTTTGTATGAAAAGCAACTCCAGTTTTTATTCTATTGCCAGGCTTTGTAAAATCTGGGGTATTTAAAAAATTAAATCCCAAGTAGAATTAAGAAAAAAACAAGTGAGTGCAAAGGGTTTAAAAAAAATGCCTATAGTCCTAGCTACTTGGGAGGCTGAGACAGGAGGATCACTTGAGCCCAGGAGTCTAAGGCTACAGTGAGCTATAACCATGCCACTGCCTGGGTGACAGAGTGAGACCTTGCCTCAAAAATAAAATAATAATATTTTATCAGTGACAGATTGCTGTGTTTATAGAGAAGAAGCAAATATGGCAAAATGTAATTGGTAATTCTAGGGATAGTATACGTGTGTTCATTGTACTATTCTTACAACTTGTCTGAAGGTTAATTTTTCTAAATAAAATGTTATTTTCTAAATAAAATGTTATTAGAAACATTTCTAAATATTAGAAATATTTCTAAATATTTTATTTAGAAAAGTGAAAGAAAATCAGGTCCTTTCATTATGATAACTGTGATCACTAACACTTTTATTTCTATATAGGAAAAGCCAAAGCATCGTCAACTATAAAGTTACTACTGGAGACAAGGACTGTACCCAAGTCTGTGCATGTTCTGCAGTGCTTGCCTCTCAGTGCCAGGCCACAGGGAAGGTGGTCAGTTAAGGTATGTAGGAAAACAGAGAATAGCAACACGGAAAATGGGAGAGAAGGGAGACTAATAAGAGAAAGAGTACGTCTCTAGAGCCAAACTGCTAGGGTTCAAATTCTGGTTCTACCACTTCCTGCTTGTAATCTTCAGTAAGTTATTTAATTTCTCTACGTTCAACTTCCTCACCTATAAAATGGAGTTGATAATGAGAGTACTTACCTCATAGAGTAGTTGTAAGCACTAAATCAGTTAATACACACAAAGCTTTATAACAGTTGTTGCTACATAGTAAAAATTTAACAATATGTGGTAAAATATCCATTAGCACACAGTACCATACATAATAAATTGTATATTTTATATACCAAGTAAAAAAATTAAAATGCTACTAATATTCTTTCTCCTACCTGCCCTAATATAGAAGAAACGTACAATCGCCACTTCACTCAGTGGCAGACCTGATTCTTACAGTATATAAATTGGAAGCAGTGACCATCCTCTTCTACCATCTATCTTTACCAACTCAGACACATTGACCTTGCTCCAAAAGGGGAGTGTAAGAGAGGAAAGGTGGAATGATATAAAGCAATCATCACTGCTGGGAATTTTTCATTCATTTATGTTCTTTGCCCAGTAGCCCTGTATGTCCAATAATGCCAGTTAGCAGTATATCTTAGACCAGAGATTATAAATTGGTGACCCATGGACCAGACCCACCCTGTAGACACGGTCTGTTTGTCACTCACAGTATTTTAAAATAAAATTGAATTAGGTGCTAACATTTGAAAATTGGAAGAATTAATATAAAAATCTGGATTTCTGGGCTTCTCTTGAAAAATATGACAATCTTGGTATGATGGTTAATTTTATGTGTCAACCTGACTAGGCCATAGGATGCCCAGATACCTGGTCAAACGTTATTTCTGGACCGGGCGTGGTGGCTCACACCTGTAATCCTAGCACTTTGGGAGGCCGAGGCGGGCGGATTGCTCAAGGTCAGGAGTTCAAAACCAGCCTGAGCGAGAGAAATAAAATAATTGACCAACTAAAAATATATATACAAAAAATTAGCCGGGCATGGTGGTGCATGCCTGTAGTCCCAGCTACTCGGGAAGCTGAGGCAGTAGGATCACTGAGCCCCGGAGACTGAGGTTGCTGTGAGCCAGGCTGACGCCACGGCACTCACTCTAGCCTGGGCAACAAAGTGAGACTCTGTCTCAAAAAAAAAAAAAAAAAAAAACGTTATTTCTGGGTATGTCTGTGAGAGTGTCTCCAGAAGAAACTAGCATTTAAATTTGTAGACTGAGTAAAGCAGACTTCTCTCCCCAATGTAGGTAGACATCCAGTCCATTAAGGGCCAGAAAAGAACAAAAAGGTGGTTGAGGCTGGGTACAGAGGCCCACGCCTGTAACCCTAGCACTCTGGGAAGCTGAGGCGGGAGGATCACTTGAGGTCAAGAGTTAGAGACAGCCTGAGCAAGAGCAAGACCCTGTCTCTACTAAAATTAGAAAAATTAACCAGGACCAGTGGCATGTGCCTATAGTCCCAGCTACTCAGGAGGATGAGGCAAGAGGATCACTTGAGCCAAGCCCAGAAGTTTGAGGTTGCAGTGAGCTGTAATGATGCTACCGCACTCTATCCAGGGCAACAGAGCAAGATCCTGTTCCAAAAAAAAAAAAAAGGTGATTGAATTCGCTCTCTGCCCACCTGGTTAGCTGGGACATAGATCTTCTCTGTCCTTAGCACTCCTGGTTCTCAAGGATTCAGACTCAGGCTGGAATCTACACAATGGCTCTCTGGCTCTCAGGCCTACAAAACTATACCACCAGCTTTCCTGGGTCTCTAGCTTGCAGATGGCAGATAATGGGAATTTCCAGCTTCTATAATTACATGAGCCAATACTTTATAATAAATCTCTCTCAAAAGTTCTCTATCTTATTGGTTCTATTTCTCTGAAAAACCCTGACTAAGACACCTGAGCTTTCTGTCCCATGACAAGAGTCAATGGAAAATTGCAACTGCAAACTGAACCTGTCCAACTGCCCAAAAAAGACCCACCTTACCCCATGGTCTCTTCCATATTAAAACAAGTGGCAGGGCATGGTCCTTGACTACTAAGGATTTTGGCAAACTGCCAAATATTCTCTTTCTGAGCCTTTGAAAAAGCACTGCATCAATTCCATGACAAGACCGTAGAATTTCCTCTTCTCCAAACACTCACATGTACTCTCTGAGGCAACTCAAGTTCTAGAACCCCTGGCAAGTTCCAGGAATGACTACAGCAGAGCAAATGAAAATAAGAAACCAACCGTCTGTCAGCACAGAAGTTCCTAGGGAACAGTAAAGTACCCTAACAGGTTTGGACAAAAATAGCAGGGAAAACCAGAATAAAGATAAAGCTGACATTTTTACTTTTAGAACCAAAAAAACCCCTTAATAGCAACATAGTGTAGCCATGCCCTAGTATCAGAAAATTAGGTTACCTAGGATTAGGATTAGAATACATGCACTGTCTAATATTGTAGTACTAGGTACATGTGACTAATCAGCACTTAAAATGTGACTAGTGTGACAAAGGAACTGAATTTTTAATTTTATTTAACTTTGATGAATTTAAATTTAAGGTCAGTCACAGTGACTCATGCCTAGCACTCTGGGAGACTGAGGTGGGAAGATTGCTTGAGCTCAAGAGTTCAAGACCAGCTTGAACAAG